AACATATCTTCTATATCTATACAAATAAATAAAATTGGAGTGTCTGTTTGTAATATTAAAATAACCGCTTTTTACTAAATGTTTATGTTTACACGGTACATATACCAAAATAACAATTTTTAAAATTTTTGTCTGTCTGTCTGTCGGTTTGTTCCGGATAATCTCTGGAACGGCTAGACCGATTTTGACGGGACTTTCACTAGCAGATAGCTGATGACATAAGGAGTAACTTAGGTTACTTTTTTTAGACTAGCTTAGCCCCGCGGCGTTGCCCGCGGTTATAACAACAAACGCGGGTAACACCGCGGGTCTCAGCTAGTATTTACATATATTTTCCAACAACCTATTATTTCTAATATTTCAAAGTTTAAAGTTCATCGGGTAGATAGAAATATTCAAATCTGAATTGAATTTCGAAGATTCTTGAACTAACTTTTATGTATATTACATATTTTTATACAGTCGTTTTAGTACAATACAAATACTCAGCAATGTTAAATTATACAATTGCTCTGTAAGCGAACATGTATAAATGTTCTTGACGTTACTTAGACAATGCTTGTACTTAACTCGAGTCAATGATGGTGGTGGGTTCTGTGCTAACATGGTACTATTACTTGTATGATTTACCTATGATTGGTTTAAATTGAAATTTACAGAAATATTCAATATTAATAATTATTTCTAAATCTGATTGATGATACAACAATCAGAATTACCTCTGTTTTATTAAAATACATCAATAAACTAATGTATATGCATGTCTGTGTAGGTATGTATGTATATACCAATATGTGTTTTAATTTTAAAGCTATATTTTTTTAAACGAAGCCATTAAAACAATAATAAACGAAACCTCGTAATTTCAGCCGATTCTAGAATTTATTTTTACTATTCTCTTAAATCCTCTTGAGAGATATCTGTGGAAGAAGTTCTACTTTGCCATGAACGTTTACGAACTATTTATGTTATAAGAACCGAAGTTTGAAGTTTGATTCGAGAACCATTTAATATAATATTCTTTTGAGGACTGGGTCCTAATTAGAACTTCTACTAGTACTAATTAATTTGAGAAAATTCATAAAATGCCTTCCAGTCTATTCCGAAAGTGCTAAAATTACGAGAAAAAGTAAATTAAGATAGAAGAATATCCATACAGATATGTGTATGTTTTGTTCTAAGATGCATTAATAGATTTATGTATAAACAAATAATTTGTGCGTTCAGTAGGAATATTACGTGTCTTCCAGGTCACTAACCACTAGACTAACAGGCCCCTCTAGAAGGCTTGGGCTCCGGTAACCTCACTCGAAAGCAATGAAATAAATGTTTGATACCGGTTTTTCGTAAGGTCATTTAGCGCAGTTTCAACCGTGTTTAATTAAATTCAATTCAATTTATTGCATTATGATATATGTATATGCTTATTATAACTGGTCCGATCCTTATATTCGTTATGTGATGTTACATAACGACTAACCTTCTTTTGAAATGGATTGATTGATGTTAAAGAACGTTAAATTGTGATTATTTTATACAACATTATATGAAAGCTATTCTGAAATAAAGATTTATTATTATTATAAGGGGTTAAGCAATTCCCATCCCCCCCCCCCCCCCATGTTAGAAACATGGGCGGCGGTACTCACTTACCATCATGATGTGATTGATTTGTCTGCTCGTCACCCTATATCATAACAAAAAACAAAAAAGTATTTCTACCTACCTACTTCTGGCTATGAACATTATATCTTCCTCCACCACGGAGGGCGTTTGATTTATTTATTTATTTTTATATTATACTTTAAGCACAAATTAGTCAATTAATTAATTAAGTTTGTTTTGATGAGAAAATAATAATTGAGGAGATGGACAGAAACAGTGGGACAGATATACATATATACATACTGAAAAACAACATACATAAATAATATATAAAACTTTAAGGATGTGATAAATCTGCTAGGGTGTCTAAGCTTGGACTTTCTTCTTAAATGAGAGGCGGATGGGTACTATCCTGATTTGAGAGGTAGAGCGTTCTAGAGGACGACAGATTGGGTAAGGAATGAAGAGTGGACATACGCTGAAGTATGAGTGGACATACCAGAAATATAGTCACCAGGCAAAAAATCTTTACCCGTCGTTTTTTCCAAAGTGAAGATGACTCGTCAACCAAGTTTTATTTAGCAAAAAAATATCAATATGCTTTACTTTTTTGTTTTTTTTTTTCTCTTGAATCGTCCTAATTAAACACGACATTAGGGACATTTCAGTTTTTGTGATTGCGAAGGGTCATCGATGTTTATAGAGAGAATACTAACATTCTACACATCCTTCGAAACTATAAATCTACAGTCACTGGCACAGACTTTACATTTCATTACAATAGCAATTTTTTATAATGAAAAAAAATACTAACTTTATTATCACGCAGTAAAGTCCATTTTAGTTTGTGCGTTATAAGTGGACCACGATCGTAAATGTATTGGAATAACAATTGAATCGATTTGTAAACCATAGAGTATATACAATCTGATGATGGTTTGTTTACCATTGAAATATATGTATGAATTTCATTAAGGAGGTGTTGGGTGTCGTCTAAGCAGCATTTCTTAATGTTATTTCATGTTATAATTCAACTGGTCTCACACTAACACGTTCTCACTCATAATCCTACACTGAGCAAACTCCTCAATCCTATTTCACTCAAGTGTTTTTGTATCGTCCGTTTTTTCATTTGTAAAGTCGGAAATCTTTGAGGGCATGGTAGGAACTATACTATAATGCAAGACTTCTCATTAAAAATGCAGCTGGAATAGCAGGAAATCATCATCATCATTAGCCTTTAATGGTCCGCTGCTGGACATAGGCCTTTCCTTAGAAAGGGGGTCTTGGCCTACTATATCATACTGGTAAGACGAGCTGGTATAGTGTTTATGTCAAATTTTACAGTGCTGTTATGCTGCGTAGTTTGCTCCCTTAGCTGGCTCTTACGACACCCAAGGGATGAATGGGTGGTAACACTCTATATTCTTAATCCGTCTCCACACGTATGGCTCAATCCGTCACCGCATGGTTGAGTTGGAACTAGCACTAAGGAATTCGGATAGCATTATTACAATTGAGACTTACAAATTGAGAATTTTAAAATAAAACAACAGTAATAAATAATCCGTCATAAAAACCATCGATATATTTACACTTGTCAATTCATTATTTACACATATATGTACACCATTCAACTTCTATTACAGTAATAATTGAATCGTATTTACACAGTACAGACTCGTAAACGATAACATTAAATAAATAAATATTAGATATGTAAATTTATTAGGCAAATAAAAAGGGCGTCACAATAAGCGATGTATTGGGTCCCGTAAAATATAATGGTCCGTTCATAGATCGACATTACATTATTTTATTTATTAGTAATTCATTAAATAGTCATTTAGTAATTAATAATTTGCTTTTAGTTGTAAGTTTTTTTTTTAATTTTGAAGTGTATTTTTCTTTGTTGCATCTAAATTTAGTAACTTAAATGTATACCGTTACCATATGCCGTTCACCTTTTTCTTTTCACCTGAGTGTTACTAATCCCAAATAATTCGCTACAAAAACTAAACTCTCTTTATTAAATATCAAGCCTGCTAATATCTAAGAACAAATTTCGATAGTAGAGAATAATCTGCTACGACGTAGATGACCTGCTAGATGTATAATCTGCTACACATATATGCTACGAGAATCGTAACACTTCAGCGATCTTTTATACGTAGCCTTGTTAGAATTTTACTTTTGTTATTTCACAGACGCAGTGGGATGAAACCGATTTACCGTTAAGGGCCATAAAATAAATCCATTCAAGATATATGTATTCTGTAGTCGCCCTGTGAATATTTTCAATACAATGTAATATCGATCTTATGGTTTTATTTTACACAAACAGCAAAGATATCTAATACATGAAGTTTCCCTAGACTAAATATGTGAAAAAAAAAACACAGATTCAAACTTTAATCTTAATACATATCTCTCACACTTTTCTGTAAAGTGAAACTCTGCCTTTTATAAGGTTAAACAAGATGTTAGCATCTATAATGTTTATTTTTATACTGGCGTAGAAAGGTATCTTATTCAGTTACAGTATATTTCTCTCGTTATGTACAGAAGAATAATAAATACGGTCAAAGTTAGGCTTGCGGTTAAAATTAAACCTGCAATAATGCATATTACTTTTCGAAAACGCTTCCTGCTCTAATTTACTTGATACAGTGATAAATATACGACTTTTAAAACAGTTTGGAAATAAGTATTGATAATTTTTTCTTTACTCGGAGCAGTACTTTATAAGTTTAAAAAATTGTTTAAACTTATGAAGTACTGCTTCAAGTAAAGAACAAATTAACAATACAACAAGCATTGCTAAAAATTTGCTTCTCTGTGGTTAATAATTAAAATGCAGACATTCACAGCTACATGAACTAATTAAATTAACTCACAAGCTAAATGAATGCATATAATTTGCATAATGATTAGAGAAACCCACCTGTTTTTCTAACATAAAGAACAACTCTTAGTTTGCGTAAGTAACTTTTCGATTTATATAAAATAGACAATTAGTAAGTTAAGTATTATATGTATCTAATATGTAAATAATTATATCTGGGTTCTAAATACATTTTATGAATATATCCCAAATGAAAATAAACTAATCTCTGTTTAGTATTTTAGATATTAAGGTTATTTAAAATCAAAATTCACAAATAACTAGTTTCATATTCCTATAAATCAAAAAATAAATATCTTTTAGAGAAATAGATTGAATCTAAACCTTATATTCAACAAAAAAAAACTATAAATTCACGGTTAACACTTTATGATTTATTAAATAGCTGTTATTTCAACTATTTACACGAATTTTACATATATTGAAACCTCTACATATCAGTCTGCAGTGTAAATTTACTATAATTACATTGACATTAAGGTTCATATTGCTATGTTGGTTCTTCAAGTTCGCTTTTAGTTGGTATTTGTTCAGTGTTGGCCTTCAAAGTAGTTGATGGCGTTAGTGCGATCAAATCTTCGTCGATCGTAGTCAACTGGGAGTACGCAGCCCGGGGGTACATCGTTCGATATTTGTATTTTCTTGACTTGAACTGTGAAATAATTGAGTCATTAAGTTGCTTTTCATAATAGAATATTCAAGATAGAAAATTCAATTTCGGAATATTCAAAATCAATTTGCATATTTTTGTACTGTTTGGGTTCCGTAGCCCAAACACGGAACCCTTACAGTTTTCTGTACGTCAGTCCGTCGGCTTAGTTTTAATATTCTTAGTACCAAAAAGATAAAATTTTACATAGCATTATTTATATACCACACCGATAAAGTTGGGATGAAAATTTCACAGAAAACATCCTGGAAATAATTACCAAGATAAAGTTGCTATTTAGTCAAGTAGTTTAGTAACAAACTGCGGAACCCTACATGACGTGTGGCTCAATACACGCTTATCAGGATTTTTCAAAAAAAGACCACCTGTAAAATTGGTTATATATTGCAAATCTTAGTAATAACCCCTTTTAAAAAAATAAATGCATATTTGAAGATTTCAAAAAGCATTGAATCAATTGACTTATTTAAAAAAAGTTATGTAACATTAAAATTCTTGAAAATTATTTCTAGGGATTACAAAAAGGGAGGCAATTAGTTGCCCACTTAATAACTTCTCCACTATGTTTGTCCACTCTTGTTCTAGAATAATAATATATTATTATCAAAGTATAATTAGTACAGTTCGCTTAATTAGTATCGCTTAACTGAACCTACTAATAATTATAAGTTGTTTTTCTACTTCAAACAGCGATAATAATAACCTCTGAGTCTTTTTCAATTAAGAATGAATTCATGCCATAATTTACGCCATTATTAAATAAATTCTTACTTCATAAATTTAACGAAAAAAGAAGTTAAATTGTAGAAAAGAATTATATCGCAAATTTCTACCATGATATTTTAATGGTTAAACACATTTAAAAATAAAATATATAAACTATATTAATAAAATAGCTTCAAACTTTTTTCATACTATTTATTACTATTATACTATACTCGTATATTTAATACTATTTATTGTATTTAAAACAAGCAATATCAAAATATTTACCAGTATTTTTTGCTATCATTGCTTACTAATAGTTACGGTCCTCGTATTAAACAAAATGTACATCTCCTTTGTAGTACATAAATTACAAAGCCGTAGAGAAAAAAGTAGAGAATTCGCAAATGAGTAATACCCGTCGATTAACACCTTAGAATATGTAACTACGAAGTCTGTTTTATAAGTTCTATAAACTTCAAGATAACACTGACAAGAATCTTCGTTTGTGGTGGCAATGATTATGCGACCTTGACATGCTAATCTATTTCTTATACTACCCAATCCATATGTAGAAGCAATGTAGTTTTCCCTACCTTCCTTTCTATCTCCACCTTCTTTCTTTTTCCTTTCTTTCTTTCTTTCCGTTCTCCCTTTCCTTTCTTACCTTCCATTCTTTCCAAATACTTCCAATTTTCAAATCTTCAATTTTCAAATTTGGGACAAATTACAATAGGCAAAATGTGGATATTTAATCACTTTTTATGTATGCGTGTGCTTGTGTGTATCTCTTACCTTTAATATAATGATCATGGCGGCTACAAGCAGTAGGACACCGCCTATACTAATTACTGCAAGCCAATTGCGATCGAGCAAATTTGCTGTGTCCTTGGCTTCGTCGACGAAAAACGACGCAGTTATGTGTGTACGAATGTTCTCAGCAATGCGCCTCTTTCCTGCTGAGGAACCATTTTGACATCCACCTAAAATAAACTTTCGTTTAATATATCCCTGTTTAGTAAATGTCGTTTTTGGTCAAAGCAAGTCTTAGTAGTAGATTTCAATACAAGTAATAAAACCATGTAAACGTTACTATTTTTTTTAAGAACTGCTTATTAGTATAGTGGATTTGACTTCATTATTATATGTAGCTTTCTTGAGATCTAGGTAGATCATAACAACTGTAGAAGTTAACTGTGAAGGATTCTAACTAAGGCAATTTATAATAGACAAGGATACTACCACTGTCTCTTGGTCTATTTCACTTTATTATGCGATAAGACTCGTGGATATAGACCACACAATGACTTATTCAATGTCTTCTCTATAATGCAATTTTAAAATCTCAATCAAAACAATTAAAATAAGGGGCACAAGAAGTTTTCTAAAAGAAATTTGTATATCCAATTCATTTTCTTTATAGTGTTTCGAATTCCTTTAAAATTAAGCCACACAAAATAGTAAAGCTGTCAGTGATTTTCTTGCAAGTTATAGAGTTTCTTAAATGTACTCTCGTCTACGTCATAAAGTATAAAGTGCACTACAAAAGCTTTGCAGAAACACGCGGTCGATTTAATCACATTCCATAAAGTTATATAAAACTCTAGGGAGTTGGATAATCTTGACTGTGTACGAGTAAGCGTTTTTTTTTTACTAATACCGGTGATTGCTTCATTATGTTGTTTAGGATCTTTAGAATAAAAAAATCCAACTCTTGTACTGACAATCATTTTCGTTGTATCTACATTCATTGATTCGTATTATACAAATTATATTATAAATTTATATTATTATTATATTTAAATAAAACGTGTTAAACGTTTTACTGATTTGAAACTGATTTTTGACTCGATCTGTTTAGCGACAAAGGCTTTTGACTTAAATTTTGCCAATTCTATTATACATTAGAATATACATGAGGATATGTGTGAATAAATAAATTATAAAACACTTTCAAACAGTATGAGAGTGTTAATAAAAAAAACTTAGAGTATTACTCTAACAATAAGTTTGATACCTATTAGTATTAGTACCTGATATTTAGTTTGATACCTATTAGTATCTTGCTATCAAAATAAATTACTCGTGTCGTATTTGTTTCAAAGTCACACATCAATGTCAACCGGTATTTTATAAAATGATACCGTAACTAGCTGTCATATTAAATCCAATTAATTTGAGTAGTTATTTACTATGATGTGGTTAAACAAGTATGTGTCATTATGTCCCTTCTATAATGTTTCATTACTTTAAGTGTCACAACGTCAATAAATATCTCCTATTATAAATACGTAACAGTCACCTGACAATGACTTGACAGAAGCATTGATTGAAAGGTCAAGTCCAAATTGTGTCCATTGTGTTCGAGGCCATCACAGGCAGGTTTTTGTTAATAAATACAATATTATGACTTTTATTTTTCTATTTACACATACCTATCTGTAATTTTTTAGTAAATCATTTACTTATTTTGGTTTTTTTATGAAATAGGAGGCAAACAAGTACACATGTCACCTAATGGTAAGTGACTGCCTTTGTGGTGTCATCATCAACCGCCTTTTATAGTCCACGACTGGATATAGGCCTCTCCTTAGAAAGGAGGTTTTGGCCTACTATACCTCACTGGCCACATACACTGGGTATACAACTGATAGAGGTATAAATCAGCATTTAAATATTTAACATGCTCTAATTTTTTTATCATTTCCTTAGTAAAAATAAAAATGATAAATTATTAAAGATCTAGCTGCTCAGTACGGCGGCTCTCATCCCGCAGTAGATGCACCAGATGCGCAATACGTTCTCCGAGCTCTAAAAGGGTTCGGGATGTGCATACCATTGCAGATGCAGGCTTGAATTGGATGTACAACAATTGGATAGGATGTAGGGTCCCCATCCCTCAGTGGTCACCTCTTTATCAGGCAGCCTAAGTATGCAGGTTCTCGGTAAATTCCTAGTTGGGGTATCCCGGGGCTTCTACGATAGACCTAGAGAAGCTGCACAGTACGTTTCCTATTAAAGTCTTGTTACTTTTGGATTTTTAATAACTATTCTCAATAGTTTTCGTTTATTATTTAATAATATGCTCTGAACAGTTTTGTTGTTAACTTTAAATAAAGTCCAAATAGACCGACTAAAAAAACGGTGTAATAAATTAATGTTTGATAACACATGATAATTAATGTTTGAGTTCTGAACGTTACTTCAAAGATACGTTTATATAAATAGAAACACTGCAACAAATAAAAAATGTTCAACATCAATCGAATTACAATACTCCACTATAAGATATATTTATTTACCAATCGCAAATGCAGCATAACATGACATGTGCCTGATTACAACATTGCCTTATAATTTTTCTCGTTTTATATTAATTGGTACAGATCAGTATTCCTTAAGATTTTGTATAGCAGTCATTAATCTTCTTATAGAGCACGACCGTGCAGCGGGGCTTAATGAATCTGCTTCACTTGGCAACCGTTCGTAGTAGGTTTAATTTTATTGACCTGGTTACCTCAACTCTGTTACTACTTTGCCGCTACTAAAACTCACCTATATCTTTATCACAATGACAGCAATCCGAAGTCTGGTTACTATTTAAATAAATAGATACCATACTCTCCGTGCAGCACGGTAAACACTTGTGGTTTATCCTGCGAACAATTACGCTAATTAATATTGAAATACTTCTATCTGTGTTGTTAAAATATACAAAAAAAAAATTAAAACATTTTTTCATTAAGGTGTAAAAAAATTGTTAATAAATATAACCCAAAGGTTTTCAAAACATTAATATAATAAAACTATAACATTATTGAGTAATTACTTCAATCTTTCATTATATTTATAGGAAACTAAAGCACACTATCATATGTGTTAACATATGCCACGGTGACATGAAGGATGATATTCTTAAAAGCTTGTCAGTCGAGCTTTTATTGGAGAGGTTCTTATTACAATGACATCATACTAAGATTAAGGTTCTTTATCATTGCTTGAAAGGAATTTTAATGGTAGGTTATATGTAAGAAGAATAAGTATTTTAAAAACTTTACTAACCTAAGACAATATCTTTTATTTATGCTTAATATGCTGATATAGAGACAGACATATCTTTTTTTTTTTAAAGTAAACGTTGCCTGCTCTTTATATAATTAGTTTTATTAACATAAAGACTTAATATTTGTATTTTCCTGTCTTAAGAACGAAAGAGATAACGACAAAATTATTAAAAATAATTACCTATCTAATCGTAAGGGGTGAGCACACGTCACACAACTAGTAGGTCCAGGTCCTGAACAAGACCTACATGAATCATGACATGGACGACAGGTCCTTGTCCGTAGCTCGTAGTACTGGGAACTAAGGCACTCCACGCATAAACCATTTTCTAAGGAAAAGTGCGGAGGACAAGATGTACACCGCTGCGGTCCTGCTCCATGGCAGTCTTGGCAATAATGGTGGCAGCGACGACAACTGTCCTGCCAAGGAAAGAAATTTTGAGGGCATTCGGGTCGGCACTCGCCGGCAGCCAGTCGCCAATCAGGTGGACACGATGCACATTGATCTCTTCTAGGTCCAGTGCATGTTTCACAGGATAAATAGCACTTTGAACAGGTTCCTTCATCAGGGTAGTAACCAGGAGCGCATGTCGCTCGGCATGTCCCGGACTGCAATCGTAAGGCACCCGAGCAAGCAGTACAGTTCAATCTTGACACACAACTCGTACATGTATGAGGGCATGGTGAGCAACGTCCCGCAGTCTGATAATAGCCTTGTCCACACTCTGCCACACATCTAAAACATTTTTTCTATATTAAATGTACATTCGAAATAAAGAGTTTTCTTTCAAATAGAAATTGACAGTACCTTGATCCTTGTAGCAACAAAGGACTAGAACAAGACAAGCAGTCCCACTCATTTGATCCACTACATTTCTCACAAGTTGAGTGACAGTTTTTACACCTCCCACTTTCAAAATATTCATCTGAAAAAAAAACGTTACGGTACGGTTACTCTACGAAAACAAGTAGAAACTGCATTGTTTACTGACGATTACTCACTGCTATCACATTTGTCATTGCCGTCAGGGAGACAAGTTCCGCTATTAGTGAGAATCCATTTCTCTTGGCAAACAGAACAAATCGCACACGTGCAAATTGAACAGCCGATGGGACACCTAAAATAACAACGAATTTTGGTCTTTAAACGGGATTAAACTTAAAGGCGTCAATTAAACACGCCAACAATGTACAGTTCAACGCAAATGTTTGAGATTCCGAGCGCTCGCAAGATTGACGAGCTCTGTTTCATCATGAAATGGAATGCAAAGATAAATTATCATAACAATAATACTTACAGCAAACATTCCCTTCTTTGAGTGTCGGCATAATATCCTGGGGGACATTTTGGAACACAACGATTTTTGAATGCGTAATCTCCAATTCGACATGAAACGCACTCATTTACGCTTGGGCCATGGCAGGATTCACACGTTTCATGACAGAGCATGCATCTAAAATCGTCCATTTGATGTGTTCCGGGCGGACATGCAGCTAAACAAGATTCATTATACATTACATAGTTGTGAGCACAGGATGAACACAAATCAGCCTTTTCAGAACATGTTTCACAATGTTCAGCGCATGGGAAGCAAGCATTTGCATCGGCATCCTCATAGTAACCATCCGGACACTGTTGCAAACATACAGCTAGGTCATCAACTAATAAATGAGCTGGAGCACAAGTAAGACAGGAGTCTTGTCCGGCCCCTGCACACGTTTCACACGATTCGTGGCATGGCCAACAAACTCCACCCTGGTTAACGAAACTCCTTGGAGGACATCTTGAAACACACGAATTATCTAAACGATAATGTTTGCAAGCAACACACTGTGTTGGCCCCTTTCCATAACAACCTTGTGAATCACATTCCGGATCACACAGTCTTTGTACTTGTTTATCATTGGCATCAGCTAAAACATTTTTACGTTGAGCGGAAGGAATGTTTTTGGGATAATTTCGTCTATCAGAAATTCCAAGTTCAATGTCATTGAGGAATTGAGAATATTCAGAGGCGTCGTAAACATCATTAATATGATAAGCTTTTTCCTCCTGGTAAACACTGTTTGTATTAAAATAGCCCTTATTTCGCAACCGGATTGGATTTGATGCTGTACCATAGAATATTAATTGCCACTTTTTCAATATACCCGGCTGAGTGACGTGAATATTACCAGCATTTAGTATTTGAAGGGTCCAGCGTCCTTCAGCACTTTCCCCCCAGAAGTGGACACTTAAAAACGGCCAATCATCGAAATTAGAACTAGTGGAATCATGTGTTCGTTCGAATAAAAGAGTAGAAGTTGTCCCCATTGGCGACGTAAGCAATATGCGTAAATTACCTCGGGGGAAAAAGCTCAGTGAAATTTTACATTGAACGTGTTCCAAAAACCTGACCTCGTTCATCGTTCCGCTGCACCCATTCACATCCATGTGCACTGATATCGTATAACCAAAAGATGTTTCAATAGATTTGTCCTCATTTATTTCTTGTGACTTACAAATGTGCTGCGGTGGTACGTTTGTCCATTGTTCCGCTAATGTTACCATCTGAGCGGCGTCCATTAGCCCGTAGCCAAACTTATGACTCACTTTTCTTTTTACTCCATTTACGATCCATCCATCTTCTTTGTCGAGCGGCTGTGATCGCGACGTCATTACGACTAGGTGCTGCATATCTCTCCACGTTAATAATGGATTTGCTTCCAACGCTAATGCACATATTCCTGCAGCTAAAGGTGCGGACGCTGAAGTACCTGTGTGATCAACTGTGCAAATATGATCAGGCCTTAATTGGACATCCATATCTACCGTAGCTACGCTTTTATCTCTACCCGGCGTCCCCGAACTGAATGTCGAAGCTATAGTTGAGGAGCATTCTTCTAAATACCATGGCTTAAAACCTGCCTGTGTAGCACTAGAAATAGAAATAGTAAATATGCTATTGGCGTAACCATCACAATTACAGGAATCTGTGTGCCTGCCTCCATTTCCCGACGCCCATATAAAAATAGAACCTTTTCCTCCTCTTCCGTTCGTTACACCATTTATAAACGCCCTGAAAACAAAGCAAGTTTTAATGAGCTTGCATATAGTAGCACCTAACCATTGGTCTAAATTGTGTGCAATTATAAAATACCTTCTAGCTAAAGGGCCAGGGCCGTCAACTGTTTTTCCGTCATCCTCGGGCCCCCAAGAGGCACTATAGATGTCTATGTGGTGAGTGTTAAACCCAAGTGCTTGAGCTTCCACTGCGTCGTTAACAAGACCGTCGAGCATTCGAACTCCTCCAATACTCGCATTGTAAGCTATGCCTACGCCGCAGTACTTATTGTAAGCGACCGCAGCAACCTCGCCCGCACACCGGGTGCCGTGTTTATTGTCGCCATTGTCCTGCGGTGTCGGGTCCGTGTCGTTCCCGTTTATGTCAGTCGATGCTGCAGGGTCCTATAATATCGGTTTGCCGATCAATACATTTCACTTATGTAACGCATTTTCTCTAAAGAGAAATGTTTTGTTCGAAATTGAACTTTCATGGGACAGCTCACCTCAATTAATGAATGTAAAAGCATGCAACTATAAAATGAAAAATATTTACATAATTTTGTATTAAATCAGGATGATTTGGTTGGATTCCATCATCTAAGATAGTCACAACTACTCCTTTTCCTGTATATCCTTTTCTCCATGCATAGCCAACATTCATGTCTAGGCCATCTGCAGCGCCCCCGTTCTGAAACAACACTTATAATCTAAAAATAGTGAGCAAGAAATAAAGTAAAGTGGACTGGCACCACGCTCCGCGCGTTGAATACGTAATGCAACCTTTAGTCGCGTGCGTGTAATAGATACTTGAACGCTACGAGGCGCTTTCTACCTTAAAAATGTAATGTAATATTGGATTATAATTTACTAAGTATTGGAAACACGAAACTGTGTAGCGGACTAAGACACTGTTTGTGTATTACTAAGGTCGTAAAAACTTAAATTAACGCAATTTAGGATAGTGGTATACCAGTATTCTAGTACCGTATTATAATATTAGCTGTCTATTGCAAGTAAATGAACTTTGTATTATATAATATTTTTATGATGTAGAATACTGTATCCGCAGTATATAATATAAATGCACTAGTATTTATAAACAAATGCTTATGCATTTGTTCATACTGAAAATGACCATACAGCAAAATAATAACTTTATTTCAAATCTAATTAAAAGCATAATAAAGTACAAATGTGTATGTGTCACTTTCAGTCGTCACGACTAGACGAAAATAAACACCTTAACCACTTTTCTAAGTACCATTGATTCTATTATGTTATTTAAAATACGTTTTTATATTGGTATAATATAGCATATAGGAATATTTCACGGAGCAAGCCACTTAAATATCTTTTATCTATCCCAATTCATTCTCACCTTTGTTTTATGTAAGAGCACACACATTAGACATATTATGGCTGAATTTGTAATACAATACATATGAAGGCTACAAGTTATATCGGTAGAAACAAGAAATATATACGTTTTATATTTTGGTCTTGGGACAAAACTACTGAATTAGTAATTCACCTACTATTCTTCGCGTGGGATAAATTTCGGTACAAATGAGACGGGCTGCCTTTGTTCAGTGAAAGTTCGCCGAAAACATTAGTTGTTTTAAATTATTTCACATTTACATCTGCTTGTGAAATGTTCAGAATATTTTGATACTCATTCTGAATTTAAAGCACTTAATATTTGTTAATAATATTATAGCTTAACATAATTTTCTTAAAGTAATATTAAAATTATTTGAGTCTCATTAACATTCAAAGATGGTGTTTCCTTTTTTAAGTAACGTGTTGGCTTTAAATGAAAGTCGACTATTTTTCCATTACAGTTTTTATACAATGCGATATTTTGGTTTTTAACGTACCTTTAAATTGTTATGAGGCAGTGACCGTCATAAAAAGGCAACGGCTCGGATTTTATTAGAAACAACGTCACGTAAAATCTTTGTTTTCTTTTATTGAGCGTGTCAATGTTTATTTGGTAATAGTATTTTAGGAGGATTAAATATTTCTATTTCAATATAACTGATATATTTATTCGTAACTTATTGTTAAATGTTTTAGGGGCTCGTGGCTAAATGGCAGAGTTAAGCAATACTAACTAGGTCAGTCTATGAATAGGTGTCAAATACATTAAGACCCCTGTTATAGAGCGCCTCGACGAGCGCGTGGAGCCGTCGGTCCCGGTTGCCGTTCAAACATCTGTGGCAATCGATGCGGGTGGTTGGAGCAGAAGTTCGATATTACCTAGTACTGATCTTTTTGGTCTGTGATCCCATAGTTTAAAGCTTTGTTTCGACTTGTTTAGAAGAATGAAAACTGTATGGCAAAGCGCAATATTTTGTTAAAAAGGCTGCATGTCCTTAATGGTACCGTGATTTTTCTTCAAATATAAATCATTCAATTTAGTGAATAGATAAATAAAAATTAACTAATACATATCAGTTCACTGTTATCGTCCATTTCTTCCAATTTATACCTCTTTCTTATTTTGTTGAAATTGATGAGACAATTGCGTTTTTAAGCAACAATGATTCCGATTTAAACTACGATAGCCATTTTCACGTAAGAAGTTATTATACATTGTAGTATAATGAATTTTTAAAAGTGATTTCTATCGCCACACCAACGAAATCGGTCACAACTTCCTTTTAGCTTAACTATCACCACTGTAGATGTATGTATATATGTGGTATATAGCTTAAACATTTTGTCATCTATTTACCAGTCAAAATTACTTAAAATAAATAAATGAAATCTATGTGCACTGCACGGATGGCGTAGTGGTTTAAGCGGTCGCCACGCCGCTTCCTACTACGCTGTGTGTTGTGGGTTCGATCCCCACACGGGACGCCACTTTGTGTGATCAACAAATTGTCGTACTGAGTCTGGATATTCTTTGTGTCCGTTTCATGTATGTTTTTAAAGTCCCTAGCGACACAGGATGTATATATATATATATGTATATATTCCTAGTGCGAGAGTTGTCCTTTTTATATTAACAGTTCAAGATTGAGTCATTTTTTTATTTTATTTATTTGTTATTGAATTATCGTGTTTGTAAAACAGACTAATGCCAAGCATAAATTTTTTGAAACATTTCGAACGATTTCGATTTAACAAACTTTTTCTTGTGAACGTTGTGGCGGGCTAATAGTAGCGAGAACTTGTTGAAGAAAAAGTTCGGCAAACAATATTTTTTGCCAAAGAAAAGTGCGGAATATCTTCTTTGAGGAATATGTACTTATCACATGTTCCTTCTGCAAATTATTACAAGATACAAGATATTTTATAAACATGCGTACATTAAAGATGTTAAATAATATTGCCTGATCAACATGTTTGACCGTTACCGGTGTACAAATATAAAAATGTAAAAAAAATATTATTTAATTATATATTATTAAAAAAATATTTAAAAAAAATATTTGTAATTTATATTATTAAAAGTTTATTATTTAGTTATATACCGCTGGTTTTATCCTAGTTGCATTAGCCATATGTGTAAAAATTTCTGCAAAGTCAAAAGCAATGTTATTGCCTAAAATAGTATTCATCTTTTGCTTACCAAATACCACTGTTCTTTGAACAGTGGGTCGGGGAAGGCGGGTGTGTTGGACTGTCGCATCACATGACGCGGCTTCCATTGATGGTCTCGTTTCGTACGACGCAGCTCTCGTTGCTGCATCACCCATTTTACCTGTCACATTTGTGTCTCTTTTAGAAAGTTAGAAGCAATGACTGATAATGAAGTCATGTGCAGAAACTAAAGGTAATATCTAATTTATAAAATTCTCAGCGATATTTTTACCAGTAATTTAAGTTACTATTTGTTATGCTTGATAAACTGAAGTTTTTGATTTGTGCGTTAGATTTCATTATTATTTCAATTTTGTTTTGAAGTTTGGGTGTTTTCTTTGTATAATATGTATGAATTTACAAAAAAAATATTAAAATATTCTATCTGTCATATCTATATTATATCTTATAGTATTCTATCATTCTATCTTTCATAGTACAAGTTCTGCTTAGTTTAAAACTGGATGGCGTTGTGTGTCAGATGTCCGATATATTATTATTTTATAAATGAATGGTTCATCTTATTAGCAATTGAGTAAGGCGAAAGCAGGCTCATTAATAATTGCCTAATTAAAGACTTTTGCCTCACTATACATAAGTCACTGACCTAAAAACACTATTCATAATGCAGAATGTTCGCCCCCGTGCAATGGATATTCCAACAGACCGAGCATAATATTATGAAAGAGTATTACTTAATTTAATAAATTAACCTTTAACATTTCAGGTGTCATTATCCCTCTACCCGAACGAGGCAATTCTCAAAACGCAGCTGGCGGAAAACTTAGATGGACGAGTCGTCCAGTCCCATTTGAGTTCTCAAGATTAACTAACTGGCCAATCCTTTGAGACAGAACCCAGCATCAATACACCACTGAATTAATTATATTGAGCAAACCACGAAGTCACGTTATCTAATCCGATAAGTTTTAGGATTATCCTGATGAATAATTTTATGGAAGACCATTGTCAATCAAAATGTCGATGTAGATTATTTTGGTAAACAAGTTACAACTTGTTATTCTAAGTAATGATATTATCATTAATGTATCTGTAAGTGAAAATGTATAAATGTATTTTATCAAGCTTTTTGTTTCAATTGTCTTTGAACTTCTCCTTTGCGTCTTCTAATTGTGTTTGAACTTTCTTGATTATGCATATTCGATGTGTAAAGCTTGGACTTAGTCATGATCATAATTAACAAGGTACAACATATTTTTGGTTATTTGAAATTCATTCGAACTTCACCGGTCAAGGCTCCGGTGTCTTAAACAATTAACTAAACCGTTTTGTGGAGAAAATATCCAAACCAAAATATGTCAAAAATAAGCTATTAATATTAAAATTCTTAACTTCTTTGTATTCATAATATTTCTAAAAATACCTTTTTACTATAGTGATTTGAAATACTGTTTTTATCCCAAATCATATGATAATTATTATTATTACTTGTGGATTGACGCGTTTTAGTAAAAACATGATTCAAATGTCATACAATTGTAAACTATTACAATGATAATACCAATAGATAGTCATGTGTAGTGTGTTGATTGGCCTTTAAAAATTATTTTATTTATAATTACTAAAGTCATGTACAATTGTCATCAAGAGGTCAGGACAAATAACTGTGTGATGAGCACGATGATTTGTTCTGTGTCTGGGAGTAATTTATCTATAATATGTATGTATTTAGAAATTTACAAGTATATTAATTAGCAGTCTGGTTAGCACAGCACAGGCTCTGCCTAGTTTGGAATCAGATGGCCGTGTGTGAGATGTGTGAAGTTATTATTATTATTATTGTAAACCTAGATTGGTCTGACATATAATGATTTTTCAAATGTGCTTTCTTTGTTACTCACTGACTATCACTAAATGATATGTCATGACGACATGATGTTGTAGAGGCGATAGATTAGCAATTCCGGCTTTATTATTATTTATACGCAATGTAAATATCAGGTGTTTCCATCAATAAAATAAAATATTTGAATGTGACTACTTCTAAAAAGTACGGTTTAATATGTCTCAAAACATTGCTATTATTATATTTATTAAAAAAAAACTCAGGTTTAAATATGCAAGAAACGATTTGGTTAGAAAAACTTTTTTTAATAACTTACCAGGAATAAATTATAGCCCCGGATTTTACTTTTTATAAGAAGTTCAATTGTTAATTAACTTTTTAATTAAATGTTAGGTCTGCGATAAAGTATATTTGCCTTACATAATTCGTGTAAATATAATGAAACTTAATTCGATTTTAATCTTCTTTTATCTCCGCCATTTTTAATTAGAGACTATATAGTGGTGATCTTTATTGACTGGTACCTATAGCAACGCTCAATGTGCCTATATTTTTAATTTTATTAATAAAAATCTTTCTGTTTTATATGGACATTTGCTTCGAGAATTTTTAATTTCAATATTTTATTCGAATACGATGAAGTTGAAATATTAGAAAGAGAAAAAAAACTGTACATAGAGAGAAATATAGTAACCATAGCAATGGGCTTGACGATGACGTGGTATTTCATAACCAAATCGATTGTAACAACAAGATGCTCGATTAAAAGTAAGCCCAATATAATTAACCTGCTCATGTTTATTATTATTTCAAGACAGTTTATTATTATTTTAGTAAATTAAGTATTAAATCTTTACATAGTATAAAATAAAGTCGCTTTTTTATGTTCTGCGGTTAGATCTTTTAAACTAAGCAACGGATTTTAATACAGTCTTCACCAATAGAGAGAGAGAGAGAGTGATTCAAGAGAAATGTATGATACTTGCATATTATTTCATTTATTTTATTTTTACACTTCCTGCATTACTATTTGCACGAGGCGGACTTAATGCCACATAGTATTATCTACCAGTCAACCTTTAGATGGTTCAATAAGGGACATGGCAGGTGCATATGCACAATGAAAAGTAGCTATGAACTAAGCATTTACTAATATAAAAATAACAATTAATAGCGCTTTTTAAAAGTACCTACATAAACGAATACACAAATACATATTTATGTAATACATACAGAATAAGATATATACAATAATTCCTATAGTACTCGTATAAATATATATAATATTAGTATCTGAAGTGACTCGGTCATAAGGATACTTCTGCTAGCTGTTTCTTTTAAAGTTCTCGGACTTTGGCTTTAAACGTGTCACGATTTGGTGACATCCTGATCTCAAGTGGCTACGCATTCCGTAGTAGCATATATTTTACAGCAAAAGAAGTATAAACACGAGAAGAAGCGTGTATTAGACATATATGTAGGAGTAAAAGATTATTGGTGGAGCGAAGAACTCTGTCATGGTTGGAACATAGTAGTTTAAGCTTTGAAGTGAGATAAGTAGGAGTTGCAGGATTATAAAGAAGAGAATAAAGGGTAGTCAAGGCCCGCAAGCTAGCTATTCGATAAATGGTGACACAGTAGTACTTGCGGAGGTTGAAGATGAATGCAGTTGTTGAGAAGTCGGTCAAGTTTGTTGAGTAGATCTGCATTCAGGTCGAGCTAGCATACATCACAATAATCGATGATTGGGAAGATCAGAGCCTGTACGAGCATTAACTTGGTAGTAGGTGGTAGGAAGTTCTTAACCCTATACTTCCAGTCAGCCGTTCCACTGACTTTCTGACTTACATTCCCAATATGTGATTGAGACCATATAGTGAGTGAGGATAGATATAAGGATATCGTAGTTGACCTTGTTAAATGCGTTTGAGAAGTCAATCAGGACCAGGACAGTAACTTTTGCGTCTTCCACCCCATTCATAATATCGCTGATCATTTTAAGCATAGCGGTAACTATGCTATGTCCGGGCCTGAATACTGATTGAAATGGGCTGAGAATATTGTATTGATAGAAAACTTTGAAAGTTGTTTAAGAACATACGCCTCTAGTACTTTGGATAGGAAAGGGAGGATTGATATGGGTCGGAAATGGCTCGGGAGGGAAGGATTAGGAATCTTTGAAAGAGGTCGAACATATGCTTTGCGCCATGCGGCTGAGAAGTATAGGGAGTAAAGGGAGAAATTGATTAAATGAGAGATTACAGGACGAAATTTGTCTAATATGGTAACTATATTACATTAGGTGACCATTTTATATTAGAGAAAATCCGACAATTTCAAAGATATGTTAAAAAAAAAACGTTACAGTGCAAACGCTGACTAATCCTTACGAAATAGAACAAAATAATGTTAAATAATGCATAATAATAATAAATTTCTATCTATTCAAACAAATATCTAATAAAGGAACATTTAAATGAGGAATTGAAAAATCATTATTTTAATAAATTTAGTCAAGTGCCTTAAAGAGTGTAACTAACAAAGGTAGGTATTATGTAGGTAGATACTTAATATCCTATAAATTACGTTTAGTATCTGAGTATGAAAGAGCGAGAAGGTCATTAAAGTTCGAATTACAGAGCCATAGAGCTAAGTGGCAACGTGACTTGAATGGTTACACTGAAACGTTCAAAAGTCTGATCGTGTTTAGTTGATCAGTGCCTGCTCAATATTTGTATGGAATTAAAGAACTTTCTTTTAAAATAAAACTTGACACAAACCCTATACTAACCCGCCTGGCCAGCGTGGTATAGTAGGCCAAAACATTCTTTCTAAGGAGAGGCCTATGTCCAGCAGTGGACTATTAAAGGCTGTTGATGTAATGATTTGAAAGAAACTTCAATTGTTCTGAATATTTATGTTGACCGCTCCAACAGCTTTGTGCGCCTAGATATAAATATTTTTTAATTTGTATAAAATATTGTTACAAAATAAATTTGAGTTGCCCGCACTTCTTTCACATTTAAAGTGTGAGTGTTTCAAAAATAATATTTTCAGTGCGTTTAAATAACGGTACAAAAAAAAATCTTTACGTATTCAGATATCTAAGTAGCTAGGCTTGTTCAAAAAGGGTTTTGAAAAAGTGGTTTCGTATAAAACTGACATCGGTCACTCAGGATTGACCGCAGGCAGGACCAGCGTGGGAGTAGCTATTTTTTAAAAGCATTCTCTGTATTTGAATACCTCAGCATATTTTTGTTTTTAATAATTTTAAAGTTTGGCAGTAAGGTGATCGCCTTTCAGTCTTTTTGACGTCAGCTTACCATTAGCGGTAAACATACCGTGCGAAAGTTTTATAAAATATTTTAATGTCTTCTGACTTCTTTTTCATTGAAGAGCTATCTGATTTATGTAAAAACTTGGTAAATGCTTTTGCAAACATGTCAATTGGTAAATACAGTTTAGAACCTTGTTCTTCTGTTTATCTATCTCGTTATTTCGTAGCTTTTAGTGTTATGATAATATTATTTTGGACAACTAGTATTAAATGTAGACATGTCTCGTCATATTACGTACTAACTATATTATGTTAGCTGTGTTATTTTTAAGGTTTATTTTTTAATTACAACAATGACTTACCTGTGGGTCATTTTTCAGTCTATTAAAATGGTCGATGCTGGCATTGGGTGATCTTTTACTGATGTGTGGATGTGATAACAGAAAGTAATTCTTCAGGTTCCCAATCTGTAAAGAAAAAAAAAACTTTTCTTAAAATTTAATATAATAATATATGAATAAAAGGAAATGATTAGTTCTTAATTAGTTGCAAAGATCATAATACTTATTTATTTCAAATTAAACGAAATGTATAATTTTGATCACCAGAAAACCAAGGAGGATTTTTAGACTCTGAATAACAAAACGTCTAAAATAGTATTCAAGCGTGGTTAACGACTTTACCACCTTTGAATATCGATCTGGGATAGACCAGAGTGTGGTCAAGCCCATTTAAAGCGAACGACATACCCAAAACTGTTCCTGGACGCTTTACGATACCAAGTAATTAGTACCTCAGTCAGGAGTCTAAAACTGGGGGTCAGAAAATAAAATATACTTCCAAAGGCGGATTTCATTACTGTTTTGGTTCTCAATATTCCGAATGTTAATAAGTTAAGAGAATTAAAACAAAAAACAATTATACACCTGCCACAGGTCTACATCACCCAAAGATCGACTGGACGAAAATGCTTACGGTATTAAGTCGACCTTTTGCAATGTATTTACAGGAAGTATTAAAATAAAAGGAACAACGTAATAGTACTATACGACGAAACTACACGCAAAGATTTATAATATCCTTACATATAATAAGTGTACACACACAATTGAGGCTATAAACAGAATGTAATAGCACACGCAGCCTATAGATTCGAGTGTTACACACGGTCATTGTACTGCCTTTGCAGGACCAGTAATGTATGCTGAAATACTTGTAAATATTCTTCCTATAACACTTTTTTGTACGATGTAAATGAACGTTTGATTTCTTACTTAATTTTTAATACTATTGCAGAACGAACTTTGTGATTAAATTAATAGACTGAGACAAAAGTAACTAGAATGAGGTCAACATTTAAAGGGATTTGTATTTTTTTTTTGTTAAATAATCTGTTTTCCAGTCAGACCTTCAAGTTTAAATACATGTAAGTAAATCGGCGCCTCAGAACCACGAGGTTCTCTGGCGCCGATTTACCTAGGTCAGTCATTTTAAAAAGTATTACAGACTGAAGAACAAAGAAATCTGATCTAGGTTTTATGCGATCAATTTAAAACAAAGTATATCATTTTTTATATAATACACTGTTTATGGAAGTATTTAAAGATCTGACGGGCCTGTTGGTCTAGCAGTTGGTGATCCTGACTGCTAAACCAGAGGTCGTGGGTTCGATTCCCACCCAGGACTAATATTGTGTGAAAAGCACGGTCTTTTGTTCTTTGTCTGGATGTAATTTATTTATCTATTATATGTATCTGTTTAAAAATATGTAAGTATGTTTATCAGCAGTCTGGTTACCATAGTACAGGCTCTGCCTAGTTTGGGATCAGACGGCCGTGTGTGAAATGTGTGAGATATATTATATATAAACAATAATTATATGTAACAAATAAAGCTTAAGTGGAAAAGAGAAAGCAAGTGTTAAGTGTTATTGTTGTTATCATGGCTTTCACACAAACGACATCGTACAAGTAAAGTTGTCCTTTCTACCGTTATGACAACTCAGTGAATGTTGGTTATAATTTAAACCTATTATTCTGATTGCAATTTCGAGCAAACTAGCTATTCAGTACGTTGGGTACCTCTCGGGAATTTATAAATTAAGTTATATAAACTCTGTCCAATTCTCAAAGGACATGAGAATCTTATAAAAGATTTTTAAATTTTAAGCTGTGCTCAAATTAGGCACTCGGTACCTAATACAGAAAAGGTTTTATTTTATTTTTTTGCATTACAGATATAAGAAATAAAATATGGTGAGGGAATTCAAGTACGTAACACATAAACATAAAATTTAAATTATATAGTAAAACAAAGTTCTTAAATGAATAAACAGACAAACGTTGCTTATATTTATTTCATTTCAGCGAGCAATAATCACGTTCTATTGTAAATAAGTATATTAAGTAAACACATTAGTGAAATTTGCAAAATGGTATTACTCAGTAAGGTTATTAAAATTATACCGAATCAAAAAATCACAAGAATATCCGTCTCTAAATATCTCATCAGCATTTTCCCTTAGTGATTGGATAAGATACGAAGGTTCCTCGTATTTTAAGAAAATTATTGTTTCATTTAAATTCATTAATTAGTCATTCGGAAATATTACGGACCGTGGTACTATAATATACTATAAGGCCTCGTTTACGGAGACGCGGGGCGTGTGGCGTGGCGTCTTGCGGCGCGTCGGACGTTTTTTGATGCGAGACGGAAAGAGTGGCGGCGCATGCGACGGTAACACTGCGGCGTACGCTTGGTACTCAATCAAAAATCAAAACTAGAGATGGAATAAAATCACGGTAAGCAATGATTAATCATATGATTTATAAATCATATAATCACACCTGCGACTAATTTACTGTGACTAAAGACTGGCAGAAGGTTCCGCCGCGGACATCGCTTCATCGCCAATCGATGCGCAAGACACGCTTCATTTAAAACAAACGCGTGCAAAATCGCTTCTTCGTAAACGCACTCAAACAACGCCATGTTTTAATTAATTGCGGACCGCGCTGCCCAACGCGACCTCCCTAAATGAGGTCTAAGCCGTGTCTCACATTAAATCATCCAATTATTTAATCAAGCCCTGCCGATCAGTTCTAAGCCCTTATACTTTAATGCAATAGCAGGTTCTAATTTACTTGTACAAGAAAAAAAAAACCTTTACTCTCAAAAATAGCTTACGATTTTATCATGAATATCTGAACTAGGTCTTCTAAAAACTGTTTTTTCAACATTTCGGTAAAATGAGATTTATTGAAATTTCAAAGCAGAAAGTGAAAGCAAAAGTATTAATATTTAATGGTCATTAAATGGACATTAAAAAAAAACAACAACGTGTCATTAACATCAGCAAACGAAATAAATATCACAGAGGATAAACAGCATTATTCAAATTTTAAAAGAAAAGATAAAAGAAATTATTTTGTTTTTTAATTATATTACGATCGACCTTTTTTTGTATTAAGTATTTTTAAGAATCATGAAACGAAAAGCAACAAAGGGCTCGGAAATGTTACAATGAAAGTTGTTGTTTATCATTTCGGAATTCGAACGGACAGATAAACAACAAATTATAACTGAAGACTAAATATTTATTAGGTATGTATCCTCCAAACAAAACATCAAATAGAGTATTATTATAAATGTTTTGAACTGAAAACCTATCAAAATATTATTTGGCGGACGATACAGTTTAACACAGATAAAATATTTGGCAAGCCTTTAGAAATTATTTACTCATATGTAGATCTCGCCTTTCCACGCAAAATTATTCAGAGTTTAGAGTGTTGTGATATCTCGAATATAAGCTATGCGATGTATTAGGTTTTTAACTATGAAGTTGGACATTTGTATTAAAATTTTAAAATATAAAAATATTTTGGTATTTTTTTTTATTTTAGCTAACCAAAGTACTGGGCAAAATTATCCATACAATTTTGCCATTTTGATGGCAGTCTGTTTATTTCCTGTAGAAGTCTGTTGGATGGGAGGCGTTGAAACCAGCGAAATCGTTTTGTACTGTAAAAACTGTCTAAATTTTGAAAAAAAGTAGAAATCTGTAGGGGCAAGGTCCGGTGAGTACCTACGCTTTAACTCTTGTAGCTTTGCGATGGTCAGTCGTGACGTGTAAGCTCGCACGTTGTCATGGAGAAGCAACGAAGAAGAGCGATTGACCAGACGTATCTGTTGAATTGCAAGCTTTTCTATATTGTTATCAATTCTTGGCAATAGACATCTGCCGTCACTGTTGTGCCATTCGGTAAGAAACTGCGATGTACAAGTCCGGCACTAGTCCACCAGGTAGTCACCATCATTATCCCATGGGTAATCTTTTTTTTTTGCGCACTGTTACCCGTCGTACAGTTACCCCGAAACCACCAGAAACCCTATTCAATATTACACATTATGAAGACCACAAATTAAATGGGAAAATACCAGACAGATGATGCTGAGGAAGACTATATATCATGACAAACAGTGTGTAATACATATAAACAGTTATTTAAAAACCACCCGTCTATACACTTGCCTATGGAAAAACTCCCTGTTGCCAGAAACGTTGCCAGCAATATATTAAAATTTGTGGTTTTATTTTTAATCATACTTAATAAACTACAAAATAAAACAGAGAAAAAGATCAAAAAAAATATCTGAAGACTAAAATATCAGTTCAAATATTTACCGTATAATACTTTCCACCGCTAATGGTAGCAAAAAATACAGAACTCATTATCGTTAACAAAAAGTAACAGTCACGTCTCCCATTGGAAATTCAGAGTGGTACTTTATGCTAAAGACTCTAGATTCAATCTAACTAATGACTTCTAATTGTTAGTAATCTAAATGACTTCATCATGAGCCCTCAGAACAAAGAACTGCAAAAATTTAAACGTATTCCATAGCTGACGTCAAAATATCACCAAGAAACTATTAAGTAAACTGTACGATAACAGTTCCCGATAGCAACTATTTCGAGTCATAAAGTGCCTAATATTAAACTTTGTTTCTTGTTCTATTGGTTTGGAGATCTGAGTGGCCATAAGTGTTTCTCTAGATCCATTTTTGTTTAAGTCATAAGACAAGTATTGATTTATGCAGTAATTTCAGTAATTGCGCAAGTTTCAGTGTAAATTTATGCGGTAATTGTAGTCAAGACAATAACAAAAAACGTTTGTCGTATTGCCTCGGTTCGAGAGCACCTCCCTAACTGCCTCAGCCAGTGTCGGTATCCTAGGCATCGACATCTCGAGTGAAGTTCAGTATCGCGGTCATTTAGAAGTTAAGGTCAAATTGGCCTCGAAGAAGCTCGGTGTACTGAACAGATTAATTTGGCAATTTAGATTTGGCAGTATTTCACTACAGCCGATCGCCTCCAACTCTATAAGGCGCAAGTTCGGCAACATATGCAGCATATGGAATACTGTTATATCTATGCAGGGGCACTTCAGTACCAGCTTCTCCCTCTGGACCGTATCCAAAGAATCGTCGATAGCCAAAAGATCTCCATCCGGTGGATCCATTGGCGTTGCATAGAGATGTAGCTTCGCTCTGCATTCTCTATCGTTCATATCATGGAGAGTGCTCCAAGGAATTATTCGGATTATTACCGGCCGCAACACACTCCAAAATTTTCATCCCCAAAACTTGAATAATTGGCACTCCACTACTGAGCGCTTTTTGAGACACTTTTTGCCTCGCACTACCAACCTGCGGAACGGGTTATCGTCTGCGGTTTTTCCGGACAGATACGACCTTCAAAAAAACCTTCAAAGAAAAGAGCGTACTCCTTCCTCAAACGCTGGCAACGCACTTGTGACTTCTAAGTTGCGTTCTTGGGCGGCGGTTGTCACTTTCCATCAGGTGACCCGACTGCTCGTTTGCCCCCATTTCATAAAAAACATGTAAATGATAGTTACCGTACAGTTATAGCACTGAAAACAATGAGAAAGAAATACAAAAATTTCCAAAATTCTTCATAAGGTATTCTATTTTTGTAGCCTGCTAATTAACTGTAAACATAACATAGCATACAAGTGTATTAAGTCTCAGAGGTCCTACTAGAATGCTTTTAGTTCCAACCCTATTAGAATTTCGTGACTAAATTCTAACCCATTAGGGTTTGAAGTACATGAAAACATGTAATTTGATTAAACCCTAGTCAATATGGAAATAAAGTCTATCAGTACTGTATCGTGTTACACTGAAAATATTACCAAACTGGCTCTGTTTATTACGAGGTAATAAAACCTTGAGTTTTTGTAACATTTGATCGTATTTCATACATTGCGTGAATTTCAAATATAGTTTAGAAATATGTATTTTTAATGTATATCCATTAAGGTTTAAATACATTATTACTATACACATTTTTTTATACCAGATAATTACTAACATGAAAACCTCAGCTACTTTTAATATATTGTATCAAAGCCTTCGTTCGAATGTTTTTATTTTTAACGGAATTCGTACATGAAAGAGTTTTAAATAGGTCAGATTGTTTTCAAAGTACGTATAAGATAATTATTTACAATTATTTAAGGCGTAGTGTCGAACGCTTGCGTTACGATTATCGTTACTTTTGTGCATGATGATTAATTAAAATTTAATAATGATCTATAAGAAGAATCGTAGCATCATCATCATCATCATCAACAGCCTTTAATAGTACAGTGCTGGACATAGGTCTCCTTAGAAAAGAGCTTATGGCCTACTATACCACGCTGGAGAGACGGATTAGTATAGGGATTTTTTCCAGTTTTCTTTCTCTTTGCAGTGCTGTTGTCCTGCGTAGATTCCTCCCTTAGTCGGCTTGTACGACACCAACGGGATGAATAGGGGTGATGACACTCCGTATTCTTAATCCGTCACCACACGGATTGTATGTTTTTTAAGAAGACGTTATTCTTATAGACAGCTAATAAGTGGATAATAAGAAAGTGTAATCAGAAAAATAAGTATGAAATACATAAGATTGAAAACGGTTTCAAAGGCTACTTCAAAATTACCTCAACATTTGCCAAAAAAAACAAAAATTACTTAATTTTATTTTTAACTTGGTGCTGTAGTTATTCAGATTCCCTACCCTAAATGTTTGTAAGATCTGCAAATATTTGTTTCGGATTTTGAGTGTTTTCTATCTATAATATGTGTGTATTTACAAAAAAAGTGTAAAGTATTCTATCAGTCAATCTACAAGTACAAGCTCTGCTTAGCTTGTAACTAGATTAGGTGGTGTGTCAGATTTCCGAAATATTTATTGTTATTATTTAACCGACAAAAAAAAACCATCGGGAGATATGTCTGTTAACATACCAACAAATGAAAAACAGAAATGCAAATAAAGAACAGACACGCAAAATTTTATGGAACGGTTTAAGTTCTGTAATGAGAAGTGTAGATTGCAGGTTTTGTAAATTAAGTTGGCAAATTTATGTTTAAACACGATAAACTCAAAAGCCGCTAGTCAGACTTAAAAAAACTGTAGTGATTTTAAATTATCCAATAAATATACTTAAAAAATCTCAAGAGTGAAACTGCTTGATAAGAATAGTTAGTATAGACCAAAGCTAATTCGGTGTGTATGCTATATTTGTTACGTGAATTAGCAAAGCAACAGGTTTAGGAGAGATAAAGCACTAACAAGTTCACTTTATCTTAACAGTTGTTTAATGGACTTATAAATGGAACTAAGGCGTATGCACTGCAATAAAACTGACGCAATGGGGTGTAGGGAAATTACTTTTCTTAAGTTTTACTTGGGTTATTTGCAAAGGCTATTGTTGATATTTTTTTTAAATTGAGTTTATGAGTGTTGAGGAGCTTACTTAATTTAGTTTCAGTTTTAATGGATACAAGTTTCTTTTACCTTAAGAGTGTGATTTTAGATAATAATATTCAGTGTCACCATAGTCATCGCTATAGTTCTAGATTAAAAAATAGATAAAATATTTTCTACAAAACACTAACTACAACAACAACAACAGCCTTTAAATAGTCCACTGCTGGACATAGGCCTCTCCTTAGAAAGGAGGTTTTGGCCAACTATACCAAGCTGGCCAGACGGGTTGGGCTTCTGTCAAGTTTTCCTTCTCTCTGCAGTGTTGTTTTTCTGCGTAGTTTTCTCCCTTAGTCGGCTCTTACGACACTCACGGGATGAATAGGGTTGGTGACAGTCTGTATTCTTAATCCGTCACCACCCGGACGTGTGAACATTAAAAACACTAACTACAAGAATGAAACTAGCGCTAATAGCTACAAAAAAATAATACTTTAAATAATAATCGATGCTGTCTTTTTGCCTTTGTGTGCTAATCTAGTACTGCTAAGTAATTTTCTGGTTCATACATTATTATGTATGTACCTTTTAATTAATAATGTGCCTTTTACATTTACATTTCAAAGTTCTTTTGAAATATGAACGCTCTCTTTTAAATTGTCAGGAACGGTTAATTAAAATTTTAACATCACATTATAATATAAAAATAATAGGATTGAAATATTACTGTGAATACCGAATACTTTAAAAATGTTGTAGATTATATAGAAATGAGTTTTGTATTTTTCTTATTTGTATTTGCAACTTTTATAGTTTAATTTTTATTGAATTCTAATTGCATATTTTATTAAACTTTGCAGCTCTGCACTCATAACACACACAAACCTTTAAGAAGATGGTACAAAAATGGACAAATTTGACAAGATTGGTCAAACTTTTTGCTTTTTACAAATTTAATTCTCACCTTTCACTTTAATTTATTTTTGATTCAAATTTAAAATTTGAAGCTACCTTTAACCGACGAATAGTTTGACTAAATAAAATAAAGAACATTATAAGTTTAATTTTTTTTCTGTTCGCCGTTTCTATTATAAATATACTTACTATGTACTTACTTTTAATATATTGCGTTTCACAAAAAACACTAACTATGTATACAGGAATTAACGCGTCTATGATAAATATTAAGTGCCTGACGTTTCGACCAGTTTGCACCGGCCGTGATCACAAGCTGACTGGTTCAGCTACGACGGCGAAATGTCAGGCGTTTCAAAAAGCCATGTAATTCCTTTCGTAATTGCGTTAATTCCAGTAATACATAATTATATAGTAACTATGTAACTTAAAATGTGTTCAAGGTGCCTACAAGAAGTAATAACGATGCGAAGTTCACTGTTTCCATTGTGTATATAAGTTACACCGTAATTATTTGTTCAGGAAGTCACGCAATCAATAACCATAAATCAATAAAATTTCATACCTTTGTATTTAAAAAATAAAATGTTCGTTACATAAACGAGTTGCAAAGAAAAGAATAAGATTAAACGATAAATACTGAATTCATATAAAAAATACCATCCTTTTATATCTAATGCTGCTATTTTAAATAACTTTGCTTATGTTAAGGGGTATTTCTTTAAATTTAATAAATTATTAGAAAAACCACGACTTCAAAGTTCATTCCTAGTGGTCAAAGGGCTCTAGAAGGCCCAGGGACTAGGAAAAATAAATTTATGTGATTTACAACCAGATGGAATGACGATTTGATCAAGATGGCTGGCAGGAGCTGGATGCGAGAAGCCCAAAATCGATCTAAGTGGCGTGCAATGGGAGAGGCCTATGTCCAGCAGTGGACTGCGATAGGCTGATGATGATGATGTGTGTGGTTGTGTCTGATTGTGTTGTGTAGATGTTTAAAAAGTCTACCACAATACAGGAGTAATTTATAGTGAGAT